CCCGCCCGCCCCTCCACACACTCTCGCTCCTCCAGCCCCGCCCCACCCCTCCGGCGCAGGCCGGTCACTAGCTGGGGAAGAAAAACAGGCGGAGCCGGGGATATCGACGCTGCCCAATCAGAGTGAGGCACTGGCGCCAGGGACGCTACCCAATCAGAGTAAGTAACCCTTTTTCTTTTCTCCGCTGCTCCACGCCCTCTCCACCGCCCACTGGGCGCCGCTGGCTAGGCGGGCCATCGAGTAAGCCTCCAGGAGGGTAGAGTGACGACTCAATCGGAAATTGCCGCTGAAGCTAAGGCAGCCATAACTGATAATGGCAACGGAGTTTTCTGGCTTCCTGTCTACAGTGTGACGTAGATTTCCCTTCGCCCAATCTCTCCGTTGCCCTGGGCAACAGTTGAGCCGCAGGGAAGAGAAGCATCGGTAAGTAGGCCCAAAAAGGGGCCAGGGGTGACCAGACATCCCATGTTTAACAAGTTATTTAATATTCGGGACTACCTGCCCGGGTTAGGGGAGAGGAGGAAGCAGGTTTCCTGGCCCTTAGTGTGCTGGGACGTCTGGTCACTTACCTAGGTGGACAAGAGTTTAGGGCTCAGAAAATCCCTGTCCTGGCCGGAAGTTGCATTTGGCACTTCTGAATGGGGTCACGGCGGAAGGGTGGGAATAGCCTGAGTCCCCCGCTCCCCAGGGAGTGCATATTCCGACTGGAGTCGCGAAGTAAGGTGAGTGTCTCTCGGCTTCGACCCGTGGTGCAGGCCTGTGTCGGACGGTCCCTGAGAGATAGCGCCGAGGAGGCGAGCGGGGCTCAGAGCTGCTTCCGCTGGAAGGTTTTCTTTCCGGGCCGGCCAGGCGGTGGCCCGCCGGCGGCCCGCCCTCCTTCCGCCCCTCTGAAGCTCCCTGTTGGGGCGAGGACGCTCGATTGGCTCCTCCTTTCCCAGCTGCAGCCAGACGGTTCAGGGGGGGGCTTGGGTGCGGTCCGCCGGGCGGTGCCTCTAACTCTGGCAAGGAGCTCCTGACCACGCCTCCCCAAGTTCCAATTAAGTACTTTCACCCCCTGACCTTCGGAGGACAGAGAGTTCCAGAGCTTAAGGAAATCATTTTCCATTCCCAGCTATAAAGGAAAAGGATGGTCCCCCACCACCGCAGCAACACCTCCTAAGTCTTAATTCCCTGCCTCATGTTTTCACATTCTGAATTTTCTCCCTTTTCATTGTCTCTCCTCTCTTGGGGGTTTGTAAGCATTGCTTGCAGTTCTAGAGAAAGGAAAACTGTCCGAATCCTCCAAGTCTACAATTTATTAAACAATTTAATGCTTGTGAATATTCCTTAAAATACAGTATTATGTATGGCTCTTTACAAGACCTGTCACACATTAACTCATGTAGTTCCTTCTATAGGCTTGAATCAAAAACTGTCAGTTGGATGGCTAAAGCTGCGGGGGACGGGCAGGGGTGGAGGGCGGCGGAGAGAGACCAGGAGAACTTCAAGGTAAATTGAAAATTGTTTATACCCAGCCAGTCAACAACAAGGGTGCAAACCTTCCTTTTTAATTTCTACTTCCTTAGCACTCATACTCCAGCCAAAATGAACTACTCTTTGTTTATTCCAAGGTTAATCACTGAAGCACCAATCTTTAGTGATTCTGTATCCATGTCTTGGTTGTCCTTGGAGATGTTTTTCCAGATTCTCCCCACCAGGAAGTAATTTCCCCTCAGCTTACCTAGCACTTTTTGAACCTCTTATATGACAGCCACTATTATAACAGCTGCTTATGTTCTTAGCTTCACTATGTTTATGCCTAAATAGAAATGGTTTGTATCAGATTAATCTGCCTATCATTTATCCTGCACATGGTATTATTTTATTACTTACTGAAAGACAATTTTGTGTGGTCTCCTGGAGGCCCAAGACATTGTCAGCAAAGTCTTAGGAACTTAAGGTTTATCAGAAACTCAGCATAGTCCCTACTACTCAATCTTTTCTTAGGCTTCCCCTTTGAAGACTTTCCAACATGGTATTTCCTCCATTTTTTTTATTTAAAAAATATTCATACATTAAAAAGTTAAAATAATACAATAAACATTCACATACCCTTCACCTAAATCTAACAGTTGTTAACATTTTGCCGTATTTCGTCCTTCTCACACACTTTTTCATTGTCATTGAACCACCTGGAAATAGGTTGCAGACACTTATTGTTAGGCAGACACCTTTAAAATTTCCAACATGTATCTCTTAAAAATTATAAAGTTCTCCTGCAAAACACAATATCATCACAACTAAGGAAATAATTCTGTAATATTTAAAATCCAGTATGTGCATTTTTCCATTCGACCCAAGAATATTTTATACCTTCTCTTCCCCAACTCCCCTGGCAAAAAACATCAGGATCCAGTCAAAGTTTATATATTCTATTTGGGTATTGTAACTCTTTAGCCTTAATCTTGAACAGTACCCCCACCCCAAACCTTTTTTTTTTTCACTTGTGACATTGGCATTTTGAAGTGTTCAGGCCAGGTCTTTGTCACCTTTTTTATTTTATGTAATTCAGAACTTGGTCTAGAGGCTTGATTATATTCAATTTAACATTTTTTTGCAAGAATAATTCAAAGTATTCATACTTTTCCAATCATGATTAAGCCTTCTCAAATGCCAACTACATCTATCCATGCTGTGAGTAGTTGAATCCATCTCACTTCTCAGCACATGTAGCTTTCTGTGGTGTCCTACAAGTAAGAGTTTAGCATTTAATCCTCCTGTTTGTGTAGAGTATGTGTTATTATCCTGGACTGGCAACATAGACTGCCTACCTTTTAATAAAATGTTGCTGCTTCTTTGCCTACACTTGGAGCTGATGCAATGTAATCTGCAGCAAAGTGTACTGATGTCAGCATAGTTTCATGAGTTTCAACTCATGGTATCCCAAGGACTGTTAATGAAAGATGTGTGGGCCCTGCAATTCATATACAGATGAATCTTGATGTTATCAAAGAAGATACCAAGGAAACTGCCGGCCATCTGGCCACATTCCAATTTAGGCAATGTTATTTTTCTCCCTGAAATTCTCTTGCAAGTCCTAATTGGTCCTAGTATTCTTAGGATAGCTGTTAGGTAGCATTCATCAGAGCCTATTAAAAATTGCAAAATCAAAATTATACTTAACACTTAGTACATTATGAACATTCTCTGCCCAATGGATAGGGAAGTGCTTGCAGAATTTACTTTATAATCACAAAGGAAAAACCCTAAAACTGCCAAGCTCATGTACTCTTCCTATCCTAGACTTATATTTGATCATGAAAGATAAGTGAAAGGAAGAAAATACACTTAAGGGAGTGAAAGAAAATGCTCTGGGAGGGCAGAAACTTAGATTGGTATAGATTGTTTTTAGCCATCATACTGAAAGTTAAGTAAAGCATTCCATTAGTCACTTCTTTTGTGTAGAAGGAAATTTGCTCATGTGAGACTATGAAACAATTTAAAGTTGACTCCAAATTCAAGTAAGGCAAAAATAATATACCACTTAAGACCAGATTTTAGAATCAGACCTGAATTTTAAAAACAGGGCCATTTACTAGCTGGTGACTTTGGACAGTTTACTCATTCTATTTATCATCTATTAAATGGAGCCATAAAACCTCTTTGGATTGTTGAACAGAATGAATCAAATATGTATAAAGTGCTATAGCTTGGTGTATTGCACATAGTATGTAGTCAGTTTATGGTAGTTATTAATAACTTCTAAAGCAGTCCAATTTGGGCACATAGTAGGCATTAAATATTTTTTAAGTAAATGAATCTAAGACAGTGATTCTTCAAGTTTAATATGAAGAACTTAATTAAAAATTAAAGATTCTGATTCAGAGGTCTGGGGAAATGTCCAGAAAAATCTGTATTTTAATATCCAAGGGATTTTGATGCAAGTGATCTGAGGATCAGGCTTTAAGAAACACTGTGGAAAGTAACATTTCTTTCCCTTTCCTTGCATACTGTTGAGATAGCTATATATCTCATGCTGAGAATGTAAAAAGCTCTTCAAATACTTTTTAAAGGTTAATGGCTAACATTTTTAGGACCACTTTCTAGTATTGAATTTTAAAATAGCAAAAAATTATTAGAAAGAGGCATTCTGCATGAGTAGGATGTGTCATTTATAACTTAATAGTAGTTTCTGCTACTTAAGTATACCAAAACCAATGGCATCATCCAGGTTCACCCAAGAACAGTTCCTGTTCTTAGGCCTAGGCACATTCCAGAAGCTAGACAGCACACATTTTATTCACATGAGTCTGGATTAATTAGCCAAATTGAACATGTTGTAACATTTTTCTACTAGCAGATGCCAGATCGCAAACAGAATAGAATCTACAATGGTTTCCAAATATATGACACATGACGTTATTTAGCATCTCCAGATGAACATTATCAACCCAAATTATGCACTCTGCTAGCATGTGGGGAGCTACTTAAGTGAGAGGGAGCATTATTACATTGTAAAACTAGCTGAAAAACTCTTTCACCTTTTTCTCACGTTAGTTTACATTCAAAAATCTAATATGCATTTTAAAATTCATCTATTAGTCAACCACAAGTCTTGGATAAAAAATACATTTTTAAAAATATTTTTCCTACAATCTTTGCTGCACCACCCACAACCTACATTAGGCAGATTGAATTTACTTAAAAGGAACTAACTTATTAAATATTCACAAAAGAAAAATGTCCTGTACATAAATGGGATTGCGTCTGGTGTCTCCCTCAGTTCCTGGAGATTGTAATTTTGCTTCTTAATGCCTATCAATGATAAAATAGAACTGTCTGGCATGTAACATGTTGCATTGGCTCTGTATTTTACTGAAGTTGCAAAGTCGAGTGCCTGTTAGTAGCTGGGCAGGTAAAGGGAAACAATAGCAGTAGTGGAACTTGGAGAACTCCCTGTGCTCATCTAAAAGGGGCCTCACTTCCCAGCCACAGCCAAATTTTGCCATGTGGAAATAAAAGCTTGACATTGCCACATTTGTTAAGAGAAGCTGAAATTTGGACTTTATATGAAATCTCCTGGCTTTTAAACATTGGTTCAAATACTTTATAAACATTTAGCAAGCCAGCAAAATGTTTAACTGCATAGAGCCAAAGGCTACCAATTTATGATCTCTGTCTCTCTCACATGAAAACATGATTGGTACTTTGAGAATCTCAAAATGCTTTAGCAATGTTTTCTTTTTGCCGTATTTCAGGTTCATTTACTGGTGTAGTTAGGCAACATGTCACTTGTCACCTCCATCAGAAATTCAAGATTCTTAGGTACATCAAGCTTCTATTCCCTTAATTACATTTTTAAAGGTTTTTACTCTTTGCTACCAACTTAAAAACTTATCCATATTTTTCAATCTTGAATTATATTATGGCATAGGTTTGCTTTGTTATAGTTGTAAAAATATATTTAAGAATACCATTTGGCAGCAGATGCTCTTGAAAAATAAATAAAACAGGTTTTTAAAAGAAAACACTTTTAAATATGCCATGCTATCTTATAGGTACCATGGTGTTGATGAGGATTCAAAGGTTTTTTTAGAGTTAGGAGGTAGTTAACGGGAAATCTAGAACAAGTCCTTTATTATAGCGATATGAAAATTAAACCTGGAATAAGAAGTGTCACACTACATTTCTAAGCACTTTCACATCCACCTTTCACTTGAATTTTGCAACCCAGGATAGATACTAAACATCTTTTATGAGAAAATCAAACCTCCAGTTAAGAAATGCATTCAAGGTCACACAGTAGAGCCAGAATACAGCCCTATATCCCATTTAAAGTATAAACATGAAGCAGATTGACTAGAAAATTAAGTAATCTGACTCCAGGACCTTCTCAACAACTACACTATATTGTTATCTCGTTTTACCACCAGCCCTACCATGTACCATCTTTCCACATACTTCTCAGTTGAGATTATATACATTTCTATAGTTCATACTACTGTACCATTGACTTTCAAGGTCTTCAGTATTTTTTACCTTCCTATTGGACTCCCACACTCAATAGGTCTGAACATAAATCATGGTCTTCACCCTTCACTTCTAACCTGTTCCTTCTGTGTTCCCAACTTGAATACTTGCACCATCCACTCGAACATGTCAGCTTGAAATCTCAGTCATCCTTGATCATTTCTTTATCACCCAGAAGGTGCCTGGCATGGGGGGTCTGGGGGGAATGGTGGTGGTGGTTTGAATTCAACTTTGTGTATCCTTCAGTACCTCTTATATCTTCTCTTAATACCCATTATCACTCCTTTTGTTCATACTCTGATCATCTTACCTAAACAATTACAACTTTCTCATTAATCTCCTTACCACTTTTTTTTTTTTTTGGTCTAAACTGTTTCTAAAATATTAATCTCATGTCACACAACCACTCAGAGCCATCCAACTAGCTCCCTCCTGTCTCTAGGATATAAAATTCAAACTCTGAGGCGTGGCATTCAAGGCTGAGAGCATGAACTGGACTCCACCTATGTAGTTCCACCATAGTATATACACTGTATTCATGGCCATTCCCTCAGGCTTTTTTATTTTTCAATGCTTCTTTCTTTGAGTATATTTTTCCCTTTGTCTAGAGCACCCTTCCGTTAGTATACAGCTGCTTCTCTTGGTAGTAAACCCCCATTCTTCCTTCTGGGACTGGTTCTAATTTTAATTCTTCAGAGACCAGCCACTGTCACCTATCCTGAACCAAGTCATTCATGGCTTTGGTTTCTTAAGGCACAATAGATATACTTTTCTTAAAGTTGTATTCAATTTTAACTATTTATTTACGCCCCTACCCCCGCCCTCACCTCCCCCAAATTTTTCGAGGAAGTGGTTCTTACCCACTGTATCTCCCTCATTTAGCTGTGGCTGGCACATTAGACTCTTTGTTTGTTGAAAGAAAATTTATGGTTACATAGGCACTTATGATCCCAAAGTCCTCTTCTTATATTACATTTACTTTCCACTCTGAAAAATTCCCTCGTCACTAAAAAAGCATCTTTTTCTACTCCAGCCTTTACTGTCCAGTGTTTACATCCAAAGTGCTATCCTTATTAATAGATATATAGCCATTAACTTTTTTATGTTCAACATTAATGTATAATTTGTTTTGACCAATTTTCCACTAATTGTAATAACTCAATCCAGAATAAAGTATTTCATTTAAACTTGTAAATGTTTTTGTAGCAGTGAAGTATAGTAGGATGATCATTAAAATATGTTCAAGCATGAAAATATATTACTTTAAAGTAAAATTAAGTAGAATGGAAACAGAGGACTAGGGAGAAAAAAAGATGTAAAATATCTGACTAAAAAATACCTTTTTTAAAATTAATGGATGATGGTAGCTATCAAATTGCTATGGTATTTAGATTATACTGGATATACTTTTAGACAGACTGATACGTTATTTTTAAACATGCTGGAAATTATATCCTTTATAACTTGAAACATAACCAATTTACATGTCACTTTAGAAATGTGTAAAGGGGTACCTAGTTTTTCTACCTAGTTTTTCAAAATCTCTGGGGGTTGTGCAAGCATAAAATTTTAGTAACTCTGATATATATATTCTCAAGGTTCAGAAGCATGCTTTGTGCTCTTGTCCAGTCCTACACCCATAATTTAGTTTTATTACTGAACTAAATCCCCCTAGAGATTTTTAACTTGTCCAAGTTGTATGATTATGTTATCAACATGTGTATGACTGATTTATAGTAATCCTTCCTAGACTTATGCCTCTTTTAAGTCTCACTCCGACAGCTTAGTAAAATATTTCATGACAAAAATTTGGTTTCCCTCCAAATTCTTCTGGATTAATATTGGACACCTAGCTCAAGTGGCTATGACAGGTTTGCTTACTTTGTCATGACTTTGAAATGCACCATCTATCTAAAACCATTATCTAGGAGAAATTACAAACTAAAGAAACTATAGGGATAAAGGAAGCAACAGATTATTTTCCAATTACCTAGACCAAGAGCTTCAAAAAATGATTAATGAACACTCATTCTCTGAGTTCTATTAGTGTAAGAATTTTATTTCTGCAGTTTAATGTGTTTTCTCTTAAAATATGCCTTGACAATCTGTATCATTTTAAAATCCAGCACAGTATTCCACTGTATGGCTGTTCAGCAATTTTTGACATATTGAACATTTAGATTTGCCCATTTATGAACATTTTGCTGTTCAATGAAATGCTTTAATGAATATTCTTATTCTTATATCTTTATACATTCGTGCTTTCTGTCTTTAGGGCTCATTACTAGAAGTAGAATGGTTGCATCAGAGAAAATATGCATAGTTTTAGTAAATATTATAAAACGTCCATCTAAAAGAGCTGTACCAACAAACCCATCCACCAAGAGTATCCATTTTCCTCTACCTTCCCAAACTATAGATACCATCAGGCTTTTGACTTTTTTTGTAATTTTAAGACATAATATACACAACAAAATGAGACTACAATGATTTTTACCTTCGTAATGAGGTGACTTTCCTATTTAAATTGCAATACCCACCACCATCTCCAGCACTCCTAAGTCCCCTTAAACTATTTTATTTTCTGCAGCACTTACTACCTTCTAGCATTTTATTATTTTTTCCACGTACTCTAGAGTGTATGCTCCAAAAAGGCAAAGTTTGTTTTTTGTCTGTTTTGTTCACTAATGAACAGTGCCTGGCACATGGTAGACACATTTATTGAACTGAATGATACAGCAGTTGTATGCTAAACAAGAATTTTGGCCATAGCTGGTATGTTGCTTCTTTGGTTCACCTGTCCCCAGTGTTACACACCTTACCTTACCAGGAAGTATCCTTAGGAGGAGCCACAACTCTTTAGAGCAGTGGTCCCCTAACCTTTTTGGCACCAGGGACCGATGCTATGAGAACCTAATGCCTGATGATCTGAGGTGGAGCTGAGGCGGTGATGCTAGCACTGGGGAGCAGCTGCAAATACAGATGAAGCTTCACTCGCTCGCCCGCCTCTCACCTTATGCTGTGTGACCTGGTTCCTACAACAGGCCACAGACCAGTACTAGTCTGCGGCCTGGGACTGGGGACTCCTGCTAGACCATGTTACACCAGACAAAACACCCATGTTTGGCTAGTAGCAGGCCACCTGGAGAAGGAAATAAATGCCCCTTTCTACTCTGGACTACATGGGCAGTTAATTATCAAGACAATTTGCCCTTGTCAGTGCAACCATCCAACCACCACCATGCTTATTTTAGCCCTTCCCTTCCTGTTTCTCCAGCCAGTTCCTGGGCGGGGGGATAGGAACAAGAACCAACCCTGGTAAAGCAGACACTCCACCCAGGCATGTGATGGCCCTAATCTTCCCCACACCAGGCCCAACCCACTCCTTACCAGGCCTTGGGCCCCCCACGCCCTTTCCAGTAACAATGGCAGCTTAGTCAAACAGAAAACTAAGATTTGGTACAGCACCAAGTTTTGTTGTTTTCCTCAGTCCAGATGCTAGATGTGAAAGAGGTATAGACCAGAGAAAGCAAAAGGATAGTGACTGAATTCTGGGTAGCTGGCATAGTTAGTCTGTAAAACATATGAGTTAAGTGTATGTTCACCCACAATTTTAGCACTTTGGTGGTAAAAAAAAATGTGGTGATATAAAAATGCTTAGCTACTGTGTATTTCCTTGATATTTATCAACATCTATATAATGTATATCCTCTTTTTCAGTAGCATATGTCAGATTAGGCCCACATAAGGGTCTAATGAATGTTTTCATTGTGGTATCTTTAATGGAGAGACTTTGTTATTATACTCAGGGTAATCAGGAAATCTACAATGTTATTAGCCTTCAACATAAATGGCAGGGAGGGGTGAAGAAATGATCACTAGGTACCACTGGCAGGCCTAAGTAACAAGGAGGAGAGAATGTGGCAGGTGGAGCTGTACATTCTAAGGAAATTGCTTATATTGCATTTATCTCAGATTCCAGTTATAGTTGCTTTATTCCTGGTTCATTCCCTTATTTTATCTTTTCTCCCAGACACAGCAGCTTAGGGGTAAATTCTGATGACAAAGTTCTGGAACGCTAATAGAGGTTCAAGACCTTTACATGTTCTGAAAGGAATTTGAATAAGAGGAAGCTTTTATTAGGAATGTCAAAGTAGTAGTGGAGTGGGAATAACTAAGACTAGAAGCAGCTTCACATGATTACAACTCATTTGCAGTGGGTGGTAAAGGCAGGCACCAAGCCAGCATCACCACTTTATAAATAATAAATCTTCTGTGGTGGTGATATTGTGAAAGACACACGGTAAGGTTACATCAGTATGGTGAAATATCACAAAATGGATGGGGCTGTCTGGAGAACATCTGTTTGGAAAGGAATCATGCTACAAATTACAGTCCAGACCACCTTGAATATATGGCAGTGAGAAGTAACACTGGGAGCAAATGTCATCAGCCAGAGATGGCACATATGCTGGGATAATAACAAAACACTTGTGAGGGTATTCGTTGGCACTTTAATATATAGTACCTCTGTTAAGGAAAATAGTAAACTGAAAGCATACCTCACTTCTGTTCAAACGCCAATTTCACCTGTTTGTGTTACTTCCTTACAACTTGCAGCTCTGCAGCCAGAAACTGATCCTTAGGGCGCTTTTGTCGTTATAACAAAAGGGTTAAAGTAGAAACCAGCTGTTAGCTATTGAGAGAAGTGAGAATGTTAGGAAATATTTACCTCATCCTTTTCCTAACTACCTGCCTTACACCACCACCACCTCCCAAATGGTCATGTTATTTTACTCACCCACCATTCAGGGGAGATGCTCAGTGTGAACCAAGGTGGCTGCCGATAAATGCCTTTGTTTTCTTCAGCTGATATCCACTAATTATCTTTGTCTGAAAAACAAGCCTACCAATTTTTTGATAGGAGAGGGGAAATTTTAGAACATGCAGCCTTCTACTTAATACCACCACTGATGAAAGTTGGTAAGATCTATGAACCCTCTCAGCCTTGTTTCAATGTAAAGACCTGCATGAAATTAAGGGGAAAATTACACAAGGATAGGTAGTCCATTTTTTATAGGAATTGTGATTTTACTTCTTAATGGAAATATCTCAAGCAATGCGCTTTGGAAATTCATTTGTGAATAATACTAATACTTGATTTTTTATTTGAAGGAAAAAACTATATCCAACAATTCAGATATGGCAGAAATGAAGTCCATGTTCCGGGAAGTTCTTCCAAAACAAGGTATTTAAATCTCAAATACTTAGATCATAGAAAATTTTAGGTACCTAAAAAGTAATAGGCAGGCAGAGTCACATAGTAGGCTCAATAGCTAAAAATCGGGAACTATTTTCTGTTCTGTATCTCACATTTACTGTCCATTTCTACTATGCTTCTTTCACAAGTAGGTTGGTAAAGGAGTGATCCATAGTTTTTACCCAGTAAAAGGATGACAAAAGCAGCATTGTTTCTTAAACCTAGAAATCTTGTTATATTCAAGATTGCAGATGATTTGAAATTTTCAATGAAAAAGAGAGCACTGTAATTCACCTTAATTTTAAGTAAGGTCTGGAAGTGGGGAAAAAGAAACTCAAATCAAGCAACAGTAAGAAAAGCTGAAAGTTTGTTAAACATTCAGTAATTTGAATATTCATGTTAAATTAATACCATATTTTACTATATAAGTATATTTAGGGACTATGTGTTTCTCCCAAATCTTTTTTCAAATTAAACATCTGACACAAAAAGTTATGTCTTGTGGTAGCTTAGAATAGTAGGTAAAAAGTTCAAAACTTGTCTTTCTCATAACTCCCTATTATTAAATGCTGCTTTTATATTGAAGTAATGTTACTGGGTTATCTCAAACTAATTCTTATTTCTTTTTAAACTTAGGGCAGTTGTCTGTGGAAGATATAACCACAATGGTGCTGTGTAAACCCAAACTTTTACCCTTAAAATCTCTGACTCTGGAAAAACTGGAGAAAATGCAGCAAGCTGCACAGGATACAGTTCGCCAACAAGAAATGGAAGAAAAGGAACAGCAGCAAATAACTGAGTGATAACTTAGCACTTGTACAGAACACTCTACCTTATTGTAATAGCAAGAAAATTATCTGTATGCTGAAAGTAGTATGTGTCAATAAAACTGATCGTATTTATGTAAACAATATAAAAATACCTGACTAATGAAACTTGTGAATTTAAACATTCTGGTTTGAAGATCATTTTAAAACTCTGAACCCAAATTTTATGCGTTTTACCCAAGTTGTTTGAACTGCAAATTATTGTTCACCATTCCTATCAGTTTAGTTTTATCGATAATATTCTTAAGTACAAATGACTAAACGTAACTTTGATATTCAGAGAACATTTACATGTTAATTAAAAACTGAGCCTTAAGATACATTCTAATCTTGCATTGTGGAATTGTAAAACGTTTTTAATGAATTTTGTCATGTTTAAGTCTATCTTGCCTGACCAACTAATCCCACCAGTAATGACAGACTATATTAAAATAAATTTTTTTTTAAGAAACCCTCACCTGAGCTTTTAATTATGCTGATTTTAAGGACTTAACGAATTACTGGTTACCTTTATCATCCAGGTTATCAAACACAATTAAAACCCTAAAAACGGAAAGTTATATGGACTTGAAAGAGCCCAGGAGGTAAATATGAACATTCAATTTGTAGTTCTAATTGTAAAAGACTACCTAAACCTGTAATAAGTATATTCCTAAGAATACCATTGTAAATTTTGAATATAATTCTTGGTTAGTTTGCTGCAGTCAATAGACAAATTAGCAAAGGCCTTAAGACCTTGCTGAGTAATTAAGGATCTCCGCAAAAGAGGTTAAAAATGTGATCATTCATTAGACAATTGTTATTGGTAGCTCCTATTTTCTCAGAAAATGTAAAACTTTGAGTCTTTGAAGAATAATTTTTTATAACACAAACATTATTCCATAATAAATTTAAGAATGATGAAAGGTAATATTTAGAAATTTCATTAAAACTATAAAAATTCAAAAAGCAAATAAGCGTGCATGCATTTTCCAAGTATAATATTAAAAGAAATTATTATTGTACTTTTGATTTAAAAGTTCATAAGGAACAAAGTTTTAAATTCACTAGGTCTAAATATGCTCCCTTATATGATTTAAATTTTGCTGTGTGAAGTAAGTTTTTAAAAAACGCTAAAATAAATGTACTCCCAATAAAGAATCAACACTGCTTCACATGTTTTATTTTGTCATACATTCTTCTAAAACCGGGTTCATTTTTCCAGTTTTGTAGAAAAATAGATGTTCCAGCCACCATTTACTTAACTGTCTAGTCTTTAAGACCGATCAATATGTTCCCTGGAAAGGTGAATAAGTCTCATGACTAACTCATTTTCTTAAAATTCTTTAAGACAAAGAAATATTTTTTTTTTTTACTCCCAAAGCACAGTATTTCAACAGCAGCAGCCAACGTGGGGTTTTAGCAGCTTAACTTTACCCCCTAAATAAAGCTTTGTATAAACCAGTGATTTTACTACAAAAACACTGTCCTTGAAAGAAAGGAGTGGCAGTCAGACATCAATGCAAAACTTGGAATGATTAGGTCATAAACATGGCACTTATAAAAGGTAGCTTATGAGAATATCCCACTTAAGAAGTGGTTACGTTTTCTGTCCCTACTTTATACCATCAAAAAAAAAAAAAAAAACCTTCCTTTAACAATTGCCCTTAAATGTAAGTCTATAAAATTTCAGAAATGCCTTGTACCCAAAACAAGTGCTTAAAAAAAAGAAAAGAAAAAAATCTGTGCTAACAACTCTTACAATTGGTATACGTATTTTTATAACATCTAAGACTGCAAGAGTTCTTATATTCAGTAGCTCTCTGGTTTAAGACGACCTCCATCTCCTTCACTTACAAAACGTTTTCTGCCCCTGTAATGCAAAGAACATAAACATGAAACAGATATAAATTCTGACCATTGTCAATTTAAAAAATTAAAAATGTGGTATTTCCTGGCTTACTCATTGTTTTCAAGAATTTTGTTGCTTAAAAAGAAATCAGTATGCCTCTAAATCTTTTGAAAAAGACTTTTCCCTGCTACATAATCCTAGGATATAGTCAGCATATCAAATGAACTGCTAATCTGAGCAGTTTTTAGTTGAATAAAAGCTTACTGAAATAAGTTCACTGTCCAAATGCAGTCATGTAAAAAAATTAAAATATAAATAGGGCAAACATTTGCTATTTAGAAATTTAAGATTTATTTTTACTATGTTATTAATATTTGCAAGCTAAACGGAGTCAAATAGAAACAGCATGATTTGGAATTATGCAAACTAGAGCTATGGAAACTATCAAAATATCCATGTTTAAGTTATTTTAAAAATTATTTTTCAGATGTAGAAAAGCCATTATCTGAATATGAAAAAAATCAAACAGAATCCAATTAATTCCAGTCTATGCCCCATTTTGAGATTCCAGCTATTTCAAACTCAAGCAGCCTTGCTCTGTACTGTAACCACACTAGCTATATGTAGTAGCAACAGCCCAGGAGGAACAGTTGACCAGCAACCTAAAGCAGTAGGTGGAAAACAGCTTGGGCAGAATTGCCCTTATTCTCTGACCTTAGGCCAACACACACAAACATTTAATACCACACACAAATGTGCACTACACCCAAATAAACAAAAGGAGAGAGAGTAGAAAGTTAAAGTTCTATGGTATACATAGAAAGTTTAGGTAACTCCTCATATGGTACTTGAAAAAGCAATAGAGACAACCAGTTAGACCTTTAAACAGAGGCTGAAAAACTTTTAAAAAACCAGTGCTAAGGTGTTGACCACTTTTCACACTGATAATCAGCTATATTTTCGTGAACATAAGGGTATAGACTATGATATTAGGAGACCAAGGTGGGGAACAAAGCAGTAAGTGGCAAGAAGTCTTGCCAAAATTGGCAGTTTTTACTGATGTATACTTGGGACATCAGTACATAAACGGTGCCATCACCAATTAGAGATCTACATTTTCAAACATTTTTATCAATGCCATTAAACAGTATATTCCACCATTCTTTTTCTTTTCTTAATGGCTCCTACTTTCTGGAGCAAAGGACACGACCAGGAAGTATTCTTCTGAGATTTAACACAATGCACTTAAATAGAAATATGCAAAGCTTAAGAAATTTTTTGATAAAAATTACAAAACTTAAAATATACATAAAAAATAAGTTTAGTTATTACGAAACTTTTATACTGGTTACATTATAAGCTTCACTATAAGCTTTAACCACAACAAAAAGAATTCATCATACTACTAAAGAGTTAGATCCTACACTTGATCTTAGCCAAAAGGCCAAAAAATGAGAGATCCTAGTAGCACAAATACAATACCATCAAATAATCACACACACAAACACACTTTCTAGAGAGGTAAGATACAATTAGCCCTAATTCTCCATTCTATGAAGGAGCAAAAAGCAGCAACACAGAGTACAGGAATGAGCCTAGATCTTTGAAGCCAGAAAGTCTGGATTCATCCTGGGCCTCAAGCATGTGTGACCTTAGAAAAGGTACATTACAGCTCCCTAAGACTCAATTTTCTCATCTTATGGCGATAATATATAACATCTACACTGAAATAATATTTAAACTATTTCAAACTAGGCTGGTACACAGAACTGCTGTGTACCAGGAAATTAGTTTCCTTCCAGTGGCTTCACAAGGTAGTCCAGTATAGATAGATTTACAAGGGGGTGAAAAAAAACTCTGCCCTTGTTTCTCCATAAGCTCCAAAAAGATGATTTTCACTCTTGAGTGCCTTCAGGGAAGATACCATTATTTTTCTGACTCAGCTGGAATAATAAAAAATAAGCTTAGCCTTCCCAAGCATCCCAGGCAGTATTTTATGTTGAGAAAGTAATAAATAAGTACCTTGAAGGACAAAGATCTCTGAGTTGTCTGGAAATTATTCCAGCCTGAAAACATTCTTCTACAAATCGCTCAAGCACAGAGTATGAATGTGGGACATCCAGATTAATGTCAGGAATTTCATTATAAATTCTCTCATAACCCTGAAACAATGAAATTATATACAGAATTGTTAGCTCATATACAATACATAATGCCATACAATTCATCACTGTCATCAAGCTTTATTAAGGCCAAATGTTTATATAAGACTGAAGACAGACCTGAACCTTGAAAAGTACAGCTAATAGGTACATATGTTACAGAATGTTTTATTTAAAACTGTTCTCTCCATATACCTTCAGGCAGACATCAGGCTTCCCCATCTACTTCTCTATATACATTTACTACATTTTTAAAAAATAAAAGGCAACTAAGAACTTCACCAACATTTTAATAACTATGCATAAAATTTTAAATAGGAATAAATTAAGTATTAAAGTATAATTTGTTAAAAATTCATGTTTCTAGATATAAAATAGAAATTATCATATCTTAGAAATAGAACTCGAGGAAGAACACAAATCACATTTCTAAAAATATAGGTTAAAAAAAACATTGAAGTATTACTTTCCAAGAAATGGCTGCAAAAGGTTCAAACATAAACACTGCCATTAAAAAAAACTATAGGCATGACACTACTAAACCCATCTGAAAGAAAATTTCATTAACAATTCATAATCGCTATTCAATCATTATATACTTAAGGTATAAGCCTAAAAATTGTTCAAAATAATGTTATACTTACTCTTTTCATTTGGTCTAGAGTAATGGTAGATGATTTCCAAAGAGATTTAAATAAATCCAAAATCATCTTAAACGTACTCTCTCCAGTTGCCTCCAAAACCATTATAATGGCCTAAAAATTGAATGAATGAATGAATTTTGGTCATTAATTCATGAGACTGCTCCAATAGTTATCAGATTCCTTTTCTCTAATATGTAACTATAGTCATAAAAATTTAAAAACCTTCTCCCTTAATGTTAATTTTTAAAAATAAAAAGATATACATTATTAAAGAAGCATTAAATACTGTGGTACAAAAAAGAACACTTAATAATTCTCTTTGGAGTGTCAAAGTAATCTTACTTCATATACAAGCTCATGGTGAAAATGAGGTACTTCCAGTTCCTTAAGGCAATGTTCAGCTTCAGATATGTCTCCAGAGAGTAAATACTCTTTCAGCAGCATATCAATCTATTACATTTAAAAATGGAGATGTGTTAGAATTCCTGATTTTTTAAAAAACATGTGCTTTTTCTAAAGGATTTACTTACCCTTACCTCATTACATGATGAAATAGCAGTTTATAAACACCTATCTAAGAACAGACTTGACATGATACTATCATAAATTTTTTCATAATTAAAAAGTAAATCCCCAATTTTTAAATGGTTCATAATTATAAAGACAATACAGTGTTCACGTGGCTTAATCACTGAGATCTACACGTAGACTTAAGATGTACATGGCCTGAGTTGGGACCATAATTCAATGTTCCCTGTAAAACAAGGGATCTTAAATACCACTAGAGGGCACTAACTGAAAGTCTCAAAATGAACTTTCAGAGTGGCACAAACTCTCACTTCCATCAGGATGACTTTAAAGTGCACTGGGATCTCCCAAAAAATGATATATCAAGGCTTTACTAGACAGGGTGAAGATTTCCATAAAGTTTCTCTTTTCTCTACAACTAAAGACTTGAAACCCATTATATAAAACACATGTCAGTAATTCATTTTCCAGTTACAGTTCAAGAGGCAAGTCTTGTCTTTCTTGTTGAAAATTGTACAATATCATCTATGGCTCCAGAGAAAGGAGGGAAAAGTTTTTCAGCACCAGAACTTCAACTAGAAATGTTCTTCCCTATATAGTGCCTGTTAAAACCACCTTTGCACCTAGTAGATGCTCTATGTTGAGTGACTGAATAAAATAATCTCATGTATCTTCTACTTCATATTTCATACTTTACAATGTATTTCATAAAATATAAAGTAAAATTTGATCAACAGAATACATCCTATTATGGTTCAGAAAAGTAACTATTTAAAGCATGTCATCTGAATAAAATTTTCACTTTACAATTATAAATACATTACTTAAATTCTATCAGTTTTTAAACCTTGTTATGTAACAAGTGTTTGAATCATTCCCATGCATTTCTGAGAATTACAAATACGTGTATACATCTCTAAAAGTCTCCTTTGTCCAACTCATCCTTCCATATAAAAGTAAATGAATATCCAAATAATATCAACCTCAAACTCAAATACTGGTAGTTTTGTTTCAATTTTTATCCTGACCATTTTTTTTACAGCTTTATTGAAATATAACAATTAGTTGCTCATATTTACATTGTACAATTCAGTAAGTTTTTTCAATTACAGTTAGTATACAATATTAGTTCCAGTTGTACAGCACAGGGGTTAGACATCTACATAATTCACAGTGATCACTCTGATAAATCTAGTACCCCTCTGCCTCTAACATACTGCAATATTGACTATATTCCTTCTGCTATACTTTATGTCTCCATGACTATTTTGTAACTATCCATTTGTATTTCTTAACCCCTTTGCCCTTTTTCACCGACTCCCCCACCCCTCTCCCATCTAGTAACTCTCAAAACATTCTCTGTATCTATGTATGAGTTTGTTTCTATTTTTGTTTAGTTTAGATTACACATGTATGTGAACTCATATGTCTATCTGACTTACTTCACTCAGCACAATACCGTCCTAGGTCCATCATACAATCTTTTCCCATTCCCTTTTAGTCTGTCTTTCAATCTAAAGTGAGTCTTGTAGGCAGTATATATATAGTCTTGTTTTCTTATGCATTCAGCCGCCCTATCTATTGACTGGAGCACTTCTTTTCCATTTGAAGTACTTGTCTATAAATATGTAGTTACTGCGATTCTTTGTATTTCTGCTACATATTTTTTCCTCTTAAAGAAATCTCTCCAACATTTCCTGTAATGCTGGCTTGGTGGTGATGAACTCTAGAGCTTTTTCTTACCTGAGAAGCTCTTTATTTGTCCTTTGACTCTAAATGATAGCTTTGCTGAAGAGTCTTGGTTGTAGATCCTGGGTTTTTATCACTTCGTGTAGTTTGTGCCAAGCCCTTCTGTCCTACAAAATTTCTTTTGAGAAATCAGCTGCCAGTCTTATGGGAGCTCCTTGTAGGTAACTGCTTTTCTCTTGCTGCTTTTAAGATTCTCTTTGTTCTTAACCTTCGGTATTTTAATTATCATGTGTCTTGCTGTGGGCCTCTTTGAATTCATCTTTTTTGGTACTCTGAGCTTCCTGGAGTTGTATATCTATTTCTTTCACCAGATTAGGGAAGTTTCCCATCATTATTTTTTCAAATAGGTTTTTCAACTTCTTGCTCTCTTCTCCTTCTGGTACCTCTATGACGTGAATGTTGTTAGACTGACGGTGTTCCATAGTCTCCTTAAATTAACTTCATTTTTTTTGGATTTTTTAATGTTGCTGTTCTGATTGGCTGTCCTCCGCTACCCCATCCTCTATATCAGTGATTTGAACCTCTGCTTCATCCACTCTGTTGATTCCCTCTAATGTACTCTTCATCTCAGATACCATATTCTGCATTTCTGACTGGTTCACTTTTATAATTTCCATCTCCGTTTTTATGGTTTTTTTAAATTCTTTGTTAAAGTTCTGAATTCGTCTACTCTTCCCCTAAGTTCATTGAGCATCCTTACAACCAGTGTTTTGAATTCTGCATCTGTTAGACTGCTTGACTCCATTATTCCTGGAGCTCTGTTCTGTTCCTTCATGTAGAACATGCTTCTTTGTCTCCCCATTCTGGCTGCCTTTCTGTGTCTGTTTCTACTAAGCAAAGCTCCTAAGTCTCCCGGTCTTATTACCATGGTGTTCCATGATAGGTGTCCAGCGGCAAAGCCCTGAAGAGGGGTCCAGCTGGAGGCCAAATAGAGTCCCAGCCTGTGCCCCTCCGGGGCCACCTAATCATATTCAGCAAGCATTCCCCAGATGGCTGATACCCGTGCTGCACTTACAGTTGACTCAAGAGGTCATGCCAGAAATGTGAGGCTTGGAGCTGCTAAGCAAGGGGCACAAGGGCACACTGAGGACCCACTGGATATGGCTAGGTAGGGCTGCATGTTGGAAGGGGCGGAGTTTCAGGGAATCTTCTGGGTGGAGCCATCTGTTATCCAGTTTGATGACATCTCAGCTATGGCGGGCACCTACGACCACATACTGAGAGCAGGGAGGGCTTAACAGAGGAACAGTGGATGCTGCCAGCATTCTGCCTGGGAGAAAGCCTCACCTGTAGCCCTTGCCCCAAAGCCTGACAACTCAATTTCCCCCATATGTCCCTGGCACTCCCCTGGAGCAGCCAACCCAGCACTGAAGCGCAGAGTGTGCAAGTGCAACACTGTGAAAATCCGCTCGCAGCCTGGGTCCTTTTAAGAGGAATGTCTGCACCTGCTGGCTGCACCTGTCATAGCTTCTGTCTCACTCAGCTGCGTGAGACAGGGCAGCCTCGCATCTCTGCACCCTCTTACTGTTACAGGGTGATTTCTTATTTCTCTCCCTAGTTGTAGTGCCTCTGTTTGTCCAGACCCCAGGCGACTCTGCTTGCTGTTTGCTCTGTGGTTTTCACCACAACTTTGGTGTGGTCACAAGAGGCGATGTACAAAGCTACTACCTTCTACGCCATCTTGCCAGGTCCCCATCTTGACCATTTTTTGTTGAGATAATTTACATAACATAAAATAGTTTGGTAGTTTCCCAAAACATTAATTTGGAGGAGTACAGATGCTCCTTGACTTATTATAGGGTTACGTTCCAATAAATCCACCATCAATTAAAAATGTCCTAAGTCAAAAATGCATTTAGGCATCATAGTTTAGCTAAGCCTACCTTAAATGTGCTCAGAATTTACATTAGCTTAGTTAGGCAAAATCATCTGACTGCTGCTGCCCAGCATCACGAGAAATTATATCATACCACAGATATCACTAGCTCAAAAAAAGATGAAAATTCAAAATTCAAAGTACCATTTCTACTAAATGCATATAGCTTTTGCGCCATCATGAAGTCAAAAAAATCATTAAGTTAAACTATTATAAAATTGGGGTCATCTGTATTATCATCTTTGGACAATATTATCAATATTGTCCTCTAATCCATAAACATGGAATATCTCTATTCATTTAGGTCTTTAATTTCTCTGTGTTATGCAGTTTTAAGTGTACAAGATTCTCATTTCTTGTGTTAAATTTATTCCTAAGCATCTTAATTTTTATGCTATTGTAAATGTAATTGTTTTCTTAATTCTATTTCAGATCATTCATTGCTAGCATACAGAACCTGAATTCTGTATGTTGATCGTTTATTCTGCTATCTTGATGAATTCATTTATTAGTTAAACATTTGGTTTTTTGCCTTTTTTGTGTGGATTCATCTGGTTTTCCGTATACAGATCATGTCAGCTGGGAATAAAGATAGTTTACTTCCTTTCCAATCTTGGTGACTTTTATTTCATTTTTCTGCCAAAGTGCCCTGGTATCTTCACTGTTTCTATACCTCAATTTTTCTAATAACTTTTTAATTTTTTAAAAAGTTATTACAATCATAATATTACTAATGCCAACTTATCTAAACACACATAAAAGCAAAAATAATCAAAGCATTAACTATATTTTAAGTTCCTTAACACTCAAACTAGGTATACATATTATTAACAAATTAAGTATCAGAAGCACAGTCACATATAAAGACTATACTCTAAAATCAGAAGCACATGAACTATAAATCTAATTTTCTTAAAAATCTGCAAATAAAGTGATTAGTTTTTCTGGTTTCTTACTATAGAGTATCATTTTACTGCCCCCCCCCAAAAAAAAAAAAAAATCCAGAGAATAAAAATGGCATTTTATTGTAATAAATCAATTACTTTTTCTTTAAAGCATGCACACCTGTAATGAACCTCCTTATAAAAATCTACCACCCTGATCTACTATAGTGTTCATAATTCATTAATTTATAACTTGAGACTATCTGGTTTCAAATTGCTCATATAAAAACAGATATTTACTATATAACTACAAAATAGGAAGTCCTAATAGTATTTGAAAAGTTTTAAATAGCAACTAAAGACTACATGCATTTCTTTGGGGTTCATACACAGCTTCTAATTATTCAAGAAAGCCCTTTTAACAGTCTCATTTTTAAGTCAGAAAAACCATACACATTTTATAACAATTATATAATTATTACATAATTTATAGCAAAAAGTATATAATGTAAAGCCACATATACAAATATTATTATATTTTCCATTTACAGCTGTAAAACTGAACTTAATTTCTGTCCACAAAAATACCAGCTGGGAGGAATACATGTAAATTAAGTTAAAGATAATACCCAATAGCTACCTCTTTAACAAGGCGATTAACCGACTGCTGCCCACCTCCAGAGCCCCACACGCTGTCTTTGCGCTTTCCACCTTTAGACATACTCAGGAGCACAGTAGCCTTGTCCAGAGCAGCTCTACAAAAAAAAATTAATAGATAAATGATAAATGTAATTTTGACACTTGGACATGCTTCAGGTTGACCAAATTATGAACTGAGAAAAACATATGCACAAAAATAACATATGCATAAAAACATATGCACAAAAAGTTTTCACATAACATAAAAGCAATCTAAAATTCACAATTCTTAATAAACTATTTCAAAATAAAAAGTTGTCAAAAAAAGTTGCTTCTCATGTTAAATATTCTCTTACTCCATTATTTCCATTCCTCAGTCAATAAAAATCTAATGTTATTAGAAATTAAGTGGTCTACACTGAGAAGGAACATTTCACATAAAAGTTTACTTAGATCCATGCCTTCCTACCAAGGTCACCATTCCACCATGACCTGAAGTGGTCCTAGAAAATTAAGTTAACATCTACGCCTCAGAAAATCTTAGACATGGCTAAGTCCAATTATAAGTTTCTAGAAGTTATAAAAAATCATATAGCATAACTCCCAAATATCACATTTGGTTTATAATTAATTATGCCAAAGAACAAGCGTGAAAAACATTATTTCTTAAGATTTCTATAACAGATAAATACAAAACTGAAAATGGGGCTGGCTCCTTTGTTAATAATTGTCCATCTTATTAGAATATTAAATAATTACAGAATGCTAAAACCTGAAGGGACCTTAAAGAACACTCTGAAGTCCAATCCTTTCATTTTATAAATAAGGAAACTGAGGCCCAGAGAAGAGTGGCTTGACATGAAAATAGAAAACCCCAGAACTTCTGCATCACAGTACTGTCTTCTTCCTATCATGTCATGCCAACGATCTCTTAATTTTGTTTCAACAATGGAGAATACAAACAGATGTCCATTATGTCTGATCAATTCAAGTGTCATTTCAAGAGAATCCTGTAGAATTTTCCATTATTTTGAAATTCAAAGTAGGAAATTTACTTACCTAGCCTGTACACAATCTACAGTTCCTTTGTAACTATCAATATAGGTATTACATAAAATTCCATCTCCAACAGCTCTAGCAATAAACTGGCCCACCAACTATAATAAGAAAAAAAAAAAACTACATATAAAAATCTAACATAAATCTTTATAGGGCACAATGTCTAAATACATAAATGATTAAGACTGGTTAAGCTACATAGTCAATACCTAAGACATGTTGGAATACTCGAAAAATATCTATTTAGCACCTACTAGTTATACTTGGCATACACTCCCACATCTTAACCTTCAAGTTACGTGCCATCAGAGAGAGGACCACATCTGCTTTGCTCACTACTGAATGAATCCTCAACACCTTGCACACTGCCTAAAAGAGTACTTGATCAAAAATGCCTGTTAAGTCAATGATGGTGTCAAGGGAAACCTCTCTTCTGGGAAAAAAAAAAAGAAAGGGACTAGGTTTTCTCAAAAAACTGTTTGATTAAGGAGTTTACCTTATGGATAAAAAATTGTGTAGAAATATTTATATGTAAGTATCTTCAAAGCATTATTTTTTATAAAAATCAGAAACAACTTCAGTGTCCAACAATAAAGGTACAGTTACATGGTACACTATATGGCCACAAGGAAATATATTTACCACATATTTACCATATTTTTTGGTGTAAGAAAAATCAAGTTTACAAAATTGCACATTCAGTATGATTCTATTTTTTATTAGAACAAAAAGCGTACCAATTTATAAAAACCATACATTGATATATATCCACAGAAAGTAGAATGGGAGATTTAACACCAAAATGTTAATAGTGATTATTTTTGCTGGCCTGTTTTGGCTTTTATCTTTCAAAAATTCTATATGGAATATGAACTTATGTAATCATTTTTTTAAATATGGTATTAGTATAAAAGGAAAAAAAAAGTCCAGGTTTAAATCACAGCTCAATACCTGACAGAGACTACTGTCTATCATAAGTAATACAAACAGCATTTAGGAATTACTCAACCTACACTCTATTCCTAAATTAATGTTTAAGTGCTGCTACCTTGATTTAAAATTTTGGTCAAATAAAACAGCAATAATTTCACACATTTTCAATTTCAAACCAGAAAGTCATATTTATGGTGGCAGCATGTATTAAATCTAATAAAAGTATAAAGCTTTGAGCACAGAATTTAAACAGAAGCATAAATCATGAATTTCCTAATTATTTCCTCACAGAGCTAAAAAAGGGAATAGTTTTATGATTTTTATAATAAACGTTAAGCAAAATCAATCCTTAATTATAACAATCTACATTTTACAAATCTTAGCTCATAAAACAGATTACCTATATATAATAGAGAATATACAGACAGCAAAAAATGACCTAAAAACTATACAAAGCATGGCGGGGGGAGTCAGATTTAAAATTATAGTATGATGAAAATGTTTGGGGAAAAAAAACAGCTGGGAAAAAATACCCTAAAATGTTTTAGGGCTATTTTTGTATGGTAAGAAATATGAGCCATATTTTCCTCTTTCATCTACTAAAATTTCCTAGGAGCATGTAGAATTTCTGTAAGTGGCAGGGTAGTGGGGGAAGAGAATGAACAAAAAGAAGAACCATACAAACCTGGGGTGCTCTAGGAGTATCCAATGCTAATTCAGGTAGATCTTTCAACAATTTATCAAATGATTTTTCTACATCATTTGTGCTCATTACTGTCCCACAAAGGTCAGAAAGAAGCTTAGATGTCATTTCTCTGTGACTAGCCTTTCCCTCCAATGCTAAGGACACTGCCAACACTGGTACTCCACTTTTCATTTCACCAAGATTTAAATCTCTTAGCATTTCCTATTCAAAAAAAAAAAAAGGTTATGTCACTGCCTCTAGTCAATATAATTCTATTTTTGAAAAATCAAAATGTGATCTATATCTCCTTATCTATTCTTCTTTGGAAATAATTAGAGAAGCAGTCACATTTTGAGAAATAGGATAAATACATCTTACTCTGCGCATATAATTAAATATTAACCCACTTTGCCCAGCTTTAACTATCTGAACATAACTAAACTCAAGAATGTGAATTATATCTAGTTTATTAAACCACGTAATATTACTAAGTTTGGTGTTAGGAGTTAACCCTCTGCTTTATAAATTGTTGATATTATTTCTAGGAATATTGTTTTATGAGCATTTATGGAGAGATTCATTTTACATTATCATAAGCTGTTTATATTCTACTTTAAAGTTTTCTCTTCACACAAAAATTACTTCATAGTTTCATATAAAGCTTAAAACAAGATCTTAAATCATTATTTTTAAGTGGTATTGTTTTAAATGCTGAGATAAAGTTAAAATTTCCTATTAAAAATATAATAGCAGTGGCTAATACTTATTGACTACTGATAATGTGTCAGGTATTATAATAGCCACTTTACCTTATTTACTCGAAACAACCCTTTGAAGGAGGTATTATCACCATACTCAACATAAACAAAACACAAAAAACCTTGAGTATTTGCTGAAGGCACACAGCTGGAGCGGCCAAGCTGGAAGTGGAACAGAGGCAGTTTGACCCTAGAGACTAATTTCTAACTCAGTTACTTAAAGTGCCTTCCTTTTTATTTAAAGTTTTCTCAGAATATTTAAATCATGGTATACTACTAAAAGAGTGCCAGAACTATTTTCACGGGCACCTAACTGGTGTCCTTGTTAGTAGTCTCTTCCCACTCCATTTCATCTCCTGGACTGTACCTGAACAGCTAATTCATTGCCTTTAAACACAATAATCCTCCTTCCTGGAAAACCCTCTCCAGCCCTCTTACCCTGGCAAACTCCTAACCACGCTTAGATGGCTCAGAATCATCTCTTCTATTACTCTCATGTTCCAGAACACTCTGCTCATAGTACTACTCAGTTAATAAATACACAGCATACTGTTGGTTCCATACTAGGTAGATAAGACAATTCCGACAGGCTTGCTCTCATAAGACTTAAATTCTTCCTCTACAATAGAATGTTTTACATTAAATTTTAATAATGTTTATATATCATTTTCCTCACTTCATTGAGCTTCAAAAGGGCAGGAGTCATCTATTACAAATTTCTCCACATGGTATGCACTGAACAAATGTTTTATATTCAAATCCTACGATATCAAACCTCATGGTATCAGACAAACCAAGAAAGCCCAGTCTGAATTAAAAGGATCTAAATTATAAAAGTCTTCTAGAGAGTTGCAATTTTATAACTCAGTAATACTAATAACCAAACCAATTTTATTTTATCCTTTTAGATTTACTTTTAGATTTACTTTATGAACAATTTATAACACAATAAATGTTCCCATAACAAATTATCACATTTGCTCTCTTGGTTTCTGTATACATTCCTTTTCAAACCTTTATCTGTATTCTTTTTTGGACAGAGAATAAATTTTATTCTAATCCTAAGCATTAAACTGAATGTCAAAAAAAGGAACTATGTCAAGCATTTTGAACAGAGATCCCTCAAGAGGCTTCAGACGGTCCATAAATGCCTTGAAATTGTTAAAATTACATTTTATAAACTATCAATTATAAAAATTATTAAAATATTGTGTTGTGCTATTATTCAGGGAAACAATGGCGTACAGCCCTCATCAGATCCTAATAGGTAAGAACTGGTCTAAATTCATGAAATTTTACTCCATTTCTTAGTTAGAAATTCATTTATGCAAAAAAAAATGCTTAAAATTATTCAGTGATCCAAGATCATTCAGATATGATGTTTTGCTTCTAATAGTGCTTTCTCTCCTGTATGAAATAAATTTATATGCAACTTAAACCTACTGCAACTTCATTAGTATCTCCATGCTCAAAATATTCCTGTATGATTGGTGTTAAAGTCTTCTCAAATGCCGTTTCATCCAAAGGCAAGACTACAGTTTCATAAACACAGTTCTCCTGGGAGGGAATAAAGAATAAAACATTCAGATAAACTGAAATTGTTTTATAATTTTATATTCCAACTGGTTAGTAATCGCAATTCAGGGACAGAGGACATACTACATACTTTGATCACTCATATAAAAATGGAACCTGTCTCTGTTCTTTTACAAAATGTGAACATAATAAATAGATTAGAATCACTAACCACAGCAAATATATATATGACTTGCTCCTAATCCTCCATATCCTAATTCTTTATCTCTCATAAAATCAATCTTTGAGTGACCCAAAAGCTTTTAAGACGGCTTCCTATCTTACCTAGTATTTTCATCAAAACTTCACGTTTTAAAAATATGAAGTAGGAACCAAAGCCTTCATGATTAGTATTACCATAATAAAAATCCCTATAACAAAAATCTATGTTACAGTGACTAAAAATTGTCTAAGGAAAAGCACTATTAAACTGAAACTTCAAAAAGAAGAAAGATTAATGTCCATTAATCTTCTATCTCTTCTCCTCTGTGACATCACTGAAATGTTCATGTGCAACTAGTGACTGGCTTCAGTTTAAACACATATACTTGAAAGACTATATACTAAAACTAGAATATTTAGCCAAGATTCTATAGTTTAAATCTTACCAGTTTTAAAATATATTTTTCATGCTCTTAGAAATATTTCCATGTCCAACATAGCTAATATAGATAAGTACATACATACAAACAACACACAAAAACAATCTAATATATACCCTGATAATTTGTCTAAAATTTTCATCTCCACATCTTGTACAGATAGTACTTTATGCAGAGCTGTGGGGAATGGGGAGGAGGAATAGACACAAAAGGAAGAGTAAATGCAGGTACAGGACAAAACAAGATTGGCCATGAGTTGTATTAATTATTGAAGTTAGTGAAGCTGGAAGATAAGTACTAGTAGATTCATTATACTATTCTACCACTGTATAAGTTAGAAATTTTCCAATTAAAAAATGTATAGTCTATTAAAAATTTACATTCTCAGCACTGTCTCTAGAAAAAAGATCCACATTTCAAATTTACCAGTTACCATCCTAAACAGTAATATTTAAAAGGAGTTTAATAACTACAAATCTTTTATGATGTTCAAAACAATTTTTATTCTTCTCAAGTCTCATTACTACAAAAACTATATTAACCTAAAAGAATCTACTGCAAAATACTCAACTTGATAATCCTAAGTAAACTATAAAGATCTACTTTTGACTCACTTCAGAAACCAAATGAAAATTATACATACATTACTACTGTTAACTTGGTTTCCTAATCTAAAATTGACCTAACAATCCAACAGTACTAAGTACATATGTGACATACACATACTGATCTATGTACATATGCATAACACACACTATCTGTAATCATATATATATGACTTGACAGTTATAGATTATAGAGTATCTGATTTGACAAACGTATGAACAAATTATAAACATGAAATCAAAAAACTTTTAAGTATTTAAATATATGTTTAAAAAGTAAAAACGCCAATACCTGGTCATCGTCATAGTTAGGATCTTTCACATCCACCTCTTCCACATCATATACCTGTCCAGGTGTACCCCAGACACCTTTGCCTCCAGCACCACCTGAAAAAGTTTAGAATTGAGAAAGCAGAGAGTATAAAGTTCAGAGTTCATAAATTAATTTTAATTACAATCTGAAATAATTCTAGATGTTCAGATGTCAACTAAAGTAACAGCTAAAAAACTACTTTAATTTCTGTTAGTTTTTTTCCAGTTCAGAGTTATACCCTAAACCTCTTTTTTATTCAGATCACTGTTTTTCAGTAATGGTTAGATATTGTATATTTCATAAATATCAAGTTATAGCTTATAAAGTTCAAACTAAAAAGGCAGCTACTTTAAAATAAAAGCAAAAACAAAACAAAGATTGGAAAAACAGCTGTACCAGGGAACTCCAGAGAGATGATATTACAGTTTAGCTCTAAATTTCATTGACATTTCTTGAGACCATTTCTTTGGTCTCAAGAAATAAGAGCCAATAAGAGGTGGCATAGAAAACTCAAAAAGAAACTAACAAAGAAGCACCATGACCACAATAAATGTTTTAAAGTCAAATACTTTTTAAATATAAAAGTACATTTTAAACTATACTTTGCAACTAGCAATGTTAAAAATAACTAATTGCTATTTAAGTATTAACAGCACTAATCATTATTTCTCTCTACTTCACATGAAAGCTGACCAGAAGTTGAACAATTTCAACTCTCAAAGTTGCTTTTCTACATAAACTTATTGAAATGTTTTTATAAGTCTCAATATATTGAATTATGTTAAAAGAAGTTTACAGTATCACCAATATTTTTTGGAGGTATTTATTTAATACCTAGAGTATAATCCCTCCCACCAGAGCAAAACAGAATCTGAGAACCAGGTTCCATTTTGATACAACCAATGACTGTAGAGCCATTCAACAAGAATAACAATTTTGGACACAGCAGAAAAAACATTTTGCAAGAATCCTAGGCTATAAATTGAAACTCCCACCATTCAAAAGCTGGTGAAATCTCTAAATTTTTATCAAAATCTATTACAGACAAAAGCTGAGAGATACCTCATTCAGCAAAAAATTTAAGTACCTAATTTGCTACTTGCCACTCCAGGCACTGGAGATAGGGCAGTGAAACAGACCAACTCCAGTACCCAAAGTATTAAACAGAGCTAAAGGGAACTCAGAATGAGATCTATAAAATCATTAAAATTCTTATCCAAATACTAACAATCAAATTTATCATGTATACTTTGCAATGGACATAATTAGATTCATTAGACAACTGATATAATGAAATCCTAACCCTATTTCTTTCAAGCAAAGTTGGAGAGTACATGCACAATTCATAACTAAAAAACATCATTGTGTACTTCGATGGAAATAATAAAATTCTGCTCAAGAAAATTAAATCTATTGAAACACGAAGGCTCAACTTAAAGAAAAAGTGGGATGATTCTCAGATTATTACCATGTAAAACTAAATACAAACCATAAATCTCATTATTGTTTAAATTTCTCATTCCTAGAACAAGAAAATTATAGTATAAGAACCAGACAATCTTTTTTTCTCATTTGTTCTTTGGGTATGGTATATACCAACCTTTCTTTGGTAGTCCCCTTCCTTTCCCAGACCTGGATCGCCTATCTAATAATCTTCCCTTTGGACTGGTTGGTACAGTTACTCCACTTCTAAGGGCTTCGCTTCCGTTATCACTGACTGAATCGCCTCTGCCAGAGTCCCGGGATGAGTTTTTCCGTAGTCGCCTTTTTGCCTTGGCGTTAATTCTAGCTTCACTAATGGAGGATGCCGAAATCCAATTTCCATTTATCTCATTCTTTATGTCTTCAGTCCCAGCATTTTCTTCATCACCAGAAAAGAGAGAGTCACTTAAGTTATCAGGATCTTAAAGAGGAAAATGAAGAAAGAAAATCCTAAGTAAGTATTTTAACCATCTAATGTTATACCAGTTATATTAGGTTGAATCGCATGAAATTACTATTTTTGTAGGTCAATGATGGTCACAAATTGGCAATTTTATATGGTTCAATCTAATAAATGACAACTAAATAGGATTACTTTTCACATTATCATGGAAAGTAAACTAAAGCGCTGAATCTTAACGAACAAAGTTTAATGACAGCATGTTATCTCATGTACTTAGATCATATAATATATATTAATATAAAAATTAAATATAAAACCTTTAGACTTTTGTGAGGTGAGAGTTAAGCGACCGGAGATAGTAAGAAAACTAAGGATCTTGAGAGGAGGGAGATAAACAAACATTTACAGAATGCCTATTATTTATCAGGTGTTGTGTTGGCTTTGTCATTTACCCACATGTGTGAGAGCTATTTATTACATCATTTATACAGATAAGGAAACTATGGCTAAAAATGTTTAGATAATTTTTTAAACATCTTATGATTAATTAGATATTTAGTAAACATTACTAATATGAAGAATATGAAAGGGATTTGGCAAATAAAGTGATCACACGACTACTGAGCTGAAATGTTCATTGCTTCCAAAGTCAAGTCAAAGTCCTAATTCATCTCTCCAAACTTGACTCATATTAATCATCCTCTGAAAATCTTCCAGCCTAAGTAAGATTTGTGCATTACTCCCTGAAAGACAGCAACATATCTGAAGTTCCCAATGGTCTCCTGTTTAGAATGTCCTCCTCATAGCTCCTTTCAGTTACCAAAATCCTTTAGAATATAGCTCAAGTCTTAGCTCCTCCACAAAAACTTTCCTAGCAGTTCTAGCCACAATAACATTGCTCACACACGGCTCATTAACCACAGCATAGAAATCACTTTTCTTTTCATATAGCAGTCCTTTTCCAAATAAGCTCAAAAGAGGAGCTGTACTTGTCTGCTCAATACCTAGGAGGATATCCTTCATACCATCAACTCATATTTGTGGAAATCAATTGACAAAGACATTAGACTAGGCTTTGCTCTTAAACTTTGTAAATCAAAGCTACTAATTTAGTTATCCCCGGGCCAGGGACACTAAAATACTTAAACTGTTCCTTGAAGTACTAAAGTATTCAATTTAAACATTTCCCATATTTTTCTTTTCTTTTCTTCAATAACTTTAATATCTTTTCAAATATGTTTGTGAGTCTGAAGCAGTAGATAGATCTAGGTATATTTTATCTATTAGACCTTACATTTTTTAATCCATATTTATATCAATTGCTCTTTTATATTTTGCTATTCATACTCACCTAAGTTTTAGGGTTCCAGAACCACTACTGCTCTTTGAGAGAATCAAAATTAAAAAGGTAAAAAAACCTGAGTACAGAATGCAGTGAATTCAAAATTTTCTGTGTACTAAGTCATTTTTCTGAATTCCCTGACATCTCAATGGTCACCAATCCAACCTATATTAGCAATGCACCACACAATCACATTTTCAATTACTGGTCACTGAGTGGCATAATTAGAATTAACAATATTAGCACATTTTCATTTGTTACAAACATAATATGTGCTATAGGCATGACACTATATCTTAATAACAAACCTCGGGAGAGGGTATTTATACCCCAGTTTTACACATGAGGAAACTGAAGGTCATAGCAAATAACCTACTTCCCCAAAGTAACAAGGTTGGTAAAAGTAGAAGTTGAAATTAGTACACAAGTCTGTCTAACTTAACTATTTGCTACAGGAAGAATTTATTGCAAAGAAGGTCTGTCTTAGGCCAATCCAAGTATTGAAGAACTGTGAGTCTTTTATTTTAAGGCATTACTTATAGAGGCATCAAGAACAAACAACTAGAACTTGTTTTAGTCAGAAAACAAAAAAGTATAAAACTTAGAACTGTGCTACCTAACAGAAATATAATGCAGGCCAAATATGTAATTTTAAATTTCCTAGTAGCCATATTAAAAAGAAATAGGTAAAATTAATTTTAACATACTTTATTTAATCTAATAGATCTGTTACATCCTTTCAACACGTGGTCAATACAAAAAGTTATTAAAGTATTTCACCTTCCTTCTTCCACACTTAGTCTCTTGAAATCTGGTATGCATTTTGTATCTAAAGTACATCTCAATTCAGATAAGTCACATCTCAAGTGCTCAATAAGCATATATGGCTAATGGCTATCATACTAGGAAGTGCAGAAAAGCAGCAATTGCCATATGTAATGTGTGTGTGTCTGTGTGTGTGTGTGTGTGTACACAATGGAATATTACTCATCCATAAAAAATGAAATATTGCCATTTATGACAACATAGATGGATCTTAAGTATATTATGCTATATGAAATAAGTAGGACAGAGAAGGTCAAAAACCCAACAACTTCACTCAGATGTGGAATATAAAATAAAAAGTAAACTAACAAATACAAACTCATAGATACAGACACTAGAATGGTGGCTACCAGAGGGAAAAGAGGGTTAGGGAAGGAGAATTGGGTATGGGTGTCAAATATATGGTAAAGGAAGGAAACTAAACTTTGGGTGAGAAGCATGCAATAAAGTACAGAAATGTTGAACTATAATCTCATATACCTGAAATTTGTTATTAACTGATGTTACCCCAATACATTTTTTAAAAATATATTTAAATTTTTTTTAAAAAAGCAATTACCACCTATATGTGAAATACATTCTTAAACTGTATTATTACCTTCCCCATCTCAATGAAGAATAAGCATGACACCCATTTATAACCCTAAAAAGCAGGTACAATACTCATGTAGCTATTGTACATAGCAGCTCCAAAATAATTATTAATTCTTGTAGTAATTTTTTTCAACTATAGTTTTCTAGCACTTTAAACACAGATTTGTAAACACAAAATGGTAAAATGTTTCAACTTCAAAGTGTCTATTCACTCATTACTGTTTAAGTGTTGTTTTCAATTTCTAAAGATTAGAAAAAGCAAAAACATTAGTGCTAAACTTTTACAGATCAAAGCAAGCTATAAAACTTGTACACAACAGTGAATTAGTCACTGAAAAATGAAGCTGTATTAAAAAGGGAAATGATATAGAGATCTTTTCAATATTAATAAAATTATAAAGCAAAGAATTTTCTAAAATATACTAATATGAAAAGCACTCACTATTCAGAATATTTCAAAATCCTAATTAACCCTCTACAAAGATTCTGAAAGCTAAAAATACATTTAAAGTTGTCTGGGTTACATAGCATTTAGACATCTATTTTAAAAAAAAAATCTTTATAACTGCTACTGAAACATCATAACAAATAAGGGAAAACACCCATAGGTAATTTCTAAAATGTAAATTATTAGTAAAGATATCAAAGATATCAATAATAGCTGATGTTGTAGAAATCACTGACTAGCTCATGTGAAAATATTAATGAGCAGGTTCACTATTCTACATTCTGCACAATAGTTTATTACAAATAGGAGACAATAGAATTATAGAATGTGAAAAGACAGAAAAATAAGGACATGATGAATTTCTATAAAAATAATCACAAATTTGATTTTTAAAATAACATGACCTATTTTCTTATAGCATGAAGATGGTTTTTAAAGTAAAGATAGTTTTAAGATCCTGTTTTCATAAAATTTCATATTGCCTGAAACTTGCTCATAATACAGTGAAGGGTCAAGATATTAATACTTACCTGTGGTATTTACATTCAGTATCTGCTCATTTTCTACATCCATTGTTCCTTAATCTCACTTGCACTAATTAAATTACCAAATGGAAATCTTCCTTTGGAATCTTTCTTTAAAAAGAAAAAAAAAGTTTCAATATATTCCAAGCTGATATAAGGTAAATTCAATGTAATCATACTGTAAAAAAAAATTACCACATAATTCCATTTTTTTAAAAAGAGTTCAATTTACTTTCAAAGACAGTTTAGCCTAAATAATATTTGATTTCAATCTTCTTGACAGGTTTATCTGTGTCCAAAAAAAAGCCTATATTTCTGGATGGGCAAATCACCCCTTTAACTTAGAATTAAAAGATATTGCTATACATGTTTACTTCAAGTTAGAGCAGTATACGCACACTCCAAATTTTTAGGAATAACAGGCTTCACAATTAATCTGATATACGTAAATATTAAATAGTTTGCTATCAATGAATTATGAGTACTACAAAATACAAACAACATAGTTTTGTTTAATCAAAAATATCACATGGTTGTGTTACTTTTCACACTACAACATATCTGATGGCAGATATATCTGCCACTTCCTCATGTAGGTATCTATAATTATAAGACTTTGAGATTGGGAGAAATTTTTTAACTGGTGTTTTCCAAAACAAGAGTATTACTAACTTGAAAAATGGATTTTTTTAAATCTTACTCACTTTAGAAAGGAATAAGTACCATGACATTAGCATCTCAGTATTTTAGACCTCAGTTTCAATATGGCTTAAAATTTATTAATGCTGGATGGAAGATTTTGATGAGATCGGTTATCTTTTATTTAGACACTTAACAGTGATATTAACCCAATGTTATTTGAAAGAAAGGCTATCAAAATATATTTTCATGAGAACTATCTCCAGAAAAGTGTAACCCAATATGACTTCAGAATCTCTCTGGAAATATTTTTCAAATTGTGGTTTACAGTACCTTAAGTTATTAATCTGTTTAAGTCATAAAGGTTAGACATAAAGAATTCCAGTTATTTACAATCATTTCACTAGCAGTGTGCTCTTATGAATACACGAATGAAAATGACTAATGAACTAAAGAAAAGCATATCTTTCTCATATAACATTACTATTCGATGTCATTGTAGAATGATATATGTTTCCTGGGACTCAAAAGTAAAACTGACTTTTAAATTCTTCAATATATACTATTTTAACATCTTATAAGTTTATAGCTCTTTTCTCCAGAAAAGGCTATCATTTTGTAAAACTAAACACACCTCATGTTAAAATTAGAAACTTCTTAATATGGCATAATCCTTAGGCTACTAAAATGTTAATATGTTGCTTCAGAAATTAACAAAATGGTGACATCACTAATTCTATTCAGAATAAACACATGTGATTCAATATAAATACCTTCTAATATCATAATTCCCACCAACTCTGGATTTAAGGGGAAAAAAGAACCTTAAAAATGCATACGTAAAGATACATATAGATATAGGAACAAATATAGTTTGCAAATCTAAACATTTAGTGTCCTGCATTGCTGAAAATGCTATATGTTTCATTTCTGTTAAAGTGCAAATGTTACATGTATGCAGTTTTTTACACCTGTTACTTTAAAAAGTCTTTCATACTTGTTATAATGGAAAATTTGTCTGCAGAACCTAGCTAATAGAGGAAATAAAATGATTATAACTGATGTTTACAAAGCCCTTTATATTTCAAAAAGAATTTCACATGCATTATTTCATATACCTCTCACAACAGTCTTGAGGTAGGTACTCCACTCTGCACACAATTAAACAGATCTGAGAAGGTAGGTGATCTGTCCACAGAGAGACAGCTGCTCAGTGGAAAAACCAGGATTAAAATTTAGACCTTTTAAATCCAGTCCTGTCTGCACAAGTTCAATACAAGATTTTAGTATACCACAGGAAGATTCTTTTTAGGGTTAAAACATTGACTACTGTTTTTATATCAAATTTTTAAATACTGCTTTTCAAACATTAAAATAGTATTTATTTTGAGCTATTATGAAGAAGACATTCGGTTGAGAAAAGAAAATGATCAGGTAATGACTATCACCTATTATTTACCAAGTTCGTTTTTATTAAGTAATCATAAAAAAAAAAGCCATCTGTGTCCTCAAGCAATGATAATGCAATCAAGAACTCAGTCACACTTGATAGCAAACATACGTTTTAAGAGTTTAGAGGATAAAGACATGTTCCATGTCTTTATTCTTCAAAGTAGTAGGGTTTTTATAGTTTAACAACCCTGAAGATTTTTGCCCAACCCTGAAGATCTCTGCCCCAAATTTAAGAAAATATAAAGCAAAAAATCTAAATCCCACATCCTTTATACTGTTACAGAACTAATTTCCAATAAGAAAACAAAACTATACATGTAAGTTAGACAAAATTAAGGCTGAAATTAAACCATTTTCATTTCTCCAAAGTGTTTCAAAGAAACATACAATCGTACGTATTCAATTGCCAAGACATTCCCTAAAGAGAGACTGACCCACCCACCCCACCGCCCAAAAAATCTATTTCCTGAAACTTTACCTAATTAACCATTCCGACAATTTTGGGAGTCAAGCTTAGTCCATGTTAACTAGAAAATTATTTGTATTCATTCCAGGACTACAATCACAACTAAGCAGCAACTTAAAATCAGCTAAAATTATTTAACCAAAATGTTGCAAAATTGAGTACAGAAAATATCAGTCATTTTTTTTTTTGCACTCCTAGCAACTATTTTTACTACGACAGAAAAAACTAATCAAAATATAATTCAAAGGTGCCTGCTGAGATATTAAGGAATTTAATAAACCTATTATGAAGGAAGACTACGGCATAGATATCGATAATTAAATTTAGAACACATCTGCAGTGGTTCCTTTATTAAAAAGTTATGTGGCAGTTTCCTAAAAAGCGTTACATTAGCAAGAAAGCCAAAATTGTAAAACTCAACAGTAAAAACACGAGTGAAAACATGCGGTGGCTTTTCTTTTCCAAAGGAAGCTGCATTTTTAATCGTTTTTATCATCTGTAGATAGTACACCGTTGCTGGCTACGTAGCCAGTTCTCACAAGGACACGAGGAGAATGGCGATATTGACGTCTGCAGACCGTTCTGAAGCTCTCGCAAAAAAAAAAAAAAAAATCCTCGCCGTGTACATTGCAGCACCAAATTGACAAATGCAACAGACCCACCATGCTTTTCACAGAAAGGGGGCTCACTTCCTGTCTTTGTTTTCTCTGAGAGATTTCATTTAAACTGGGAAAAAAAAAAAAAAAAAAAAACCAACCCTCTGCCCGAGCAGCGGCGCCGCGAAGTTAGCGCAGGGCCGGGCGGCGGGCGCGTGTCCACTTCCCAGCGCCCCCCCCGAGCGCCCCCGGCCCC